GCCGTTATCAGTTCATAGTTAAAAGCTTCCGCTGTGGTTTTCCTGTTTAGCTGGCCGCAGGTGGCTCGTTAATTAGCGGCGCTTTCGGTTCCTCTTTTCCCCGGTAGCTACCGCCGGTGGATTCCGCGTGGTCTGGTTGCGAGCTTCCCTGCAGCCCCGTGCTTCCCTGAAGCCTCGTGCTGACCGAACCTGACAGTAGCTTCCCGGTGGTCTTTAGGGGCAACCATGTAGAATACATTGCTGTAATCCAGTCAGGAAGTGACTAAGGCATGGGTGACTGTGAACAAGGCCTCTTGGTCCAGGAACATGTGCAGTTGGTGCACAAGTTGAATTTGTGCAAAGGTCCCCCTGGCCATGCAGCGGGAGCCACAAATCCAGCAGAATCCCCAAATTGTGCATCAATTTTGTCCGAGGCAGTGTTCCCAGAGATGTCAACTTTCCTGTCCCCCAGAGGGCCAAAGACCCACAATTGCTGCATCTTGCTAGGGTTGAGTCATAGTTAGTTTCTCCCCATACAGGCTCTTTCAGCCCCCAGACACTGAGCAAGCACTTGAATAGCATCACCTGCCTGACATGGGGTAGAGATGTTTAACTGGGTATCGTATACTGATCATACTGAACCCCATACCACTGAATAACCTCACCCAGTGACTTTTCAGAGATGTTAAATAGGGAGAGAGATCCAAGCCCTGAGGTACTCCACATGACAGGGGCCTGGGGTTGGACCTCTCCTCCCCTACCTACACCAACTGGTACTGGCCATGTACCTGCCCCCACACTCCCAACTCCTCGAGCCAGTCCAGCTACGAATACTATGGTTGATGGTATCAAAAGCCACCAAGAGATCCAGGAGGTCAAGGATGGACACACAACCCCCATCTCATGCCTTCTCCAGGTTGTCCACAATTCCAACCAATGCTTTCTTGGTACTATAGCCTGGCCTGAATCCTGACTGCATATGGTCCAGATAATCCATTTAATCCAGGGTCCTCTTCAATTGGGAGCCTGCCACCTGCTCACCAACCTTTCCTAAAAAGTCATCCAGAATTGTAGAGTCCTGGGAGAACAGCCAGGTTTTCAAGGCCTTCTGGAATGTTATCAGGGTAGGAGCCACATAGATCTCTGGGGGATCTCATTCCAGAGGGCAGGTACTGTGACAGAGAAGGCACTCTTTCTGGATCCCAATAGATGGCATTGTTTAACTACAAAGAACCTATAACACATCAACTCTGCCAGCACTTACAGTTTGGAAGAAACTATAGGTTTAATTGCATCAAGCCTTATATAGGGCTTACTCTCAGTTTTCATGGGATTCCTTCCTCAAATTATTAATAGGTTGTGTAGTTTTCAACAGAGAAAAGAAGGTGACTCTGGAAGAATGGATTGTTCCTGCTAAGTAGTCTGGCTTAGAATTAAGCTTGACTGAGTTCACTGAGACCTATTCCTAGATAAATCAATATAAAATTGCAGCCTGGGAAGCCATTGAACTCAGGGTACTTATTTCTTAATAGGCATGTATAAGATTGCACTGCTAAGTGTCCCTTTCTTCAGCAATTATGTGGAATCTTTGCATTCATTTATAATTCAAAACTCTTTCTGCTTCATCTCTTAAGAACGTTGCATTGCTGTGTCTGAAATATTGTGCCATTAGATTAGCATCTCATGGGGACAAAAATGAGTGCTAAGATGAGTGTAACATTCCATTTGTGTGACCATTGTGTTAATAAGAAAATGAAAATGGTTGGGTACTTAGGAATTTGGGGTAAAAATAAAAAGAAAAGCCCAAAATATGACATTCAACTTGATGCATTGCTTTTATTGTTGAACTATTGCCTCTTAATAGGGGATGGGATTAGAACTGGCTGTGGTGTTATATCCAGTTACATGGGACTAAATTCTAATATGTTCTTCCTGGATTACCTCATAGCTCCTCAATCCCTACACTTTTAACCTTGATTTCAGTGGCAGAAACACTTTTGATTCCCACCGGCTGCCTTTGAAGTATCACCATTTCTCAGAACACAGTAAAGCATTGAAGCGGATAATGGAGCGCCATTTTGGCCTTTCAAGATGATACTAGCCTATCTGCCTATTCACTGTGAGGTCGGCCACTGATGATAACGATGTTATTTCCCACAGATGACTGCTTAGCTAATCTTCTGGAAAGAAAAAAGAAGATAAAACACAAGTGTTTCTGATTTACTATTTAACATTCAGAGGCAAAATAAAAGGACTGCATGGGAATTCACATTCCTGAAATATTCCTAAGATCTAAATGTTGGGTGTATGTGTGTATACACACACACACACACATATGTAAAGTTAAACCCTAGAAATATGTATATTGAGTGTATTGACCACACACACACACACACACACACTGTAAAATAAAAAGTTCTGTAGGTCTGAAATTTTTGCAGCGTATTCTGAGTTTAGCTTCACTGTATTTAAATGTGCTGTTCCGTATGTAAGTGAAAGCATGTTGCAAATAAGGATTACACTATTTAACAGTACTCTTTAGCTTTATTTTCAATGTTTGTGTAAATATTATAGATTAAAGAAGTGGGAAAAACAAATTGTTCCCTATACAGTTCCAGATCAAAGTATATGTTTTGCTGGCAGATCTGTGGTTGAATTTTCTGACCTGTTCTTTATTTCTGAAATGTAGTTTTCATAGATTCATCTTTTCTAACTGATCTACATCTCTAACTACTGGTTTCCCCCGAGGGAAAAATATAATTATCAGTGGCATTATATGTACCTCCAAGTAATACAGTTTTAAACTATATTATAACACACAGATATGTGTTAAGGTAAACTTTATTGTCTACATTTGTCTTTCCAAAAATGAGGCCCACCAGGCATAACTATTATCAGCTCCCATAATCTCTAGGGAACGTGTTCTAACCTTAGATGCAGCTTCAGAAGCAATAGTTTGTAATATACATAGATTGATAGCTGTGAGCTTGATTATTAGCTCCTTCTTGACTTATTTCATGAATAACCACCTATACTTACAAGATGTTTGTCACTCACTTGCCTTCTTATACATGTGCATCTCTTCCTTTGTTTAATTTTATATAGCTTCTGTCTTGCCCCCTGCTCCCCTTGGTAATTTATTTTTATTTATACCCCAATTTATATGAGAATATAAATCTGTCCTGATCTCTGCAAGGCTGCTTTATCTGCCCTATTCTCTCTGCATTTTTTAAAAGTGGAAAGTTATATCTCAAAGCTGTTAGAGCGATAGGAATTTTAAACTTCACAAGTTTTTCTCCTGGCCCTCCCTGCTTCCTTTCCTTCTTTCTTACCCTGTGCTGCAAATGGCATTTGCATATGCATGAGAAAGGATTTATATGGAGTGCAACACATTCGGTTTACAGTCTTTGTAATTGTTTAAATGGTCCCTTTGAAATAAGGGCCCATCGTTGACTTGGAAGGCCCCTTATTTGGAGCAGGTTTCTAGCCAACTGGAGGGAATTTAGATGATGACGGCTTGTGCTGCAGAACTCCAAAGCTTCGGGGTGTGTGAGCAAGCGCAGTGATGTGAGGCACTCTGTGAGAGATACGGCTTCTTTCATAAGCTTCCATTGATTCATTTCAGCAACCTAATGCTGTACAAAAGGTTGGTGGGTCTGACCAGCTCTCAGTTTACCCAGAGTAAACTAATACATAAAAATAACCGTACCTTATCTATTGCTTTTTATTTTCATTCTGGGGCGTGAGTGGCTGTGGATGCTTGTTTCTCCTGCTCCATCAGAGATTTGTTTCTGAGCGGCCAGCATCTTTTCTCTTTTTTTATCCCCCTCCACAGGCTGGTCCTGGGACTGTCAACATGGCTACAGGAGTCCCAGATTACAACAGAACGGAGTCTGACAGATTAAATGAGATCAAAGGCCACTTGGAAATTGCCTTGCTGGAAAAGCACTTTCTCCGTAAGTACAAAGAAATTTATCGATAGTGTGTTTAGTAATGAGTTTGTGACCTAGGTAATCTGGAGATATGTATTTTTTCCCATTATTAGCTAATATTATGTTTTTAATTGACAGGATCCAGTCATTCTGTCAAGAGTGTATTTTAAGTTTCCTTATTCATAATTTGATGTCATGATTATCAAGGTCTTTTCAACAATGGCTCAGAAGAAAAGCTTTTCTTTGTTTAGTTAGAAGATTATGGCACACAGTAACCTCCAAACTAGTTTGCTTTCCATTCGATATGAGTTCAGAATATTTGAATAGTTGAATAGTAGCAGGGATTGGACCATCATAATAAAACAAGCCCATTTTTAGATGCCATTATTAGCATGATCCTTTTTCGAGTAGGAAGGCTTTTTGTGTAATGGTTTAAGCATTGGGGCTTAAGTCATTTCGACTACCCTGGTTTTGTTTAAATTGTACGTGCGCTTAATTTCTGTTTGTCAAATGTATTAGACTCAGTGCACACAATGAAGTCATGCCTTTGATATATTTTCAAGGATTCTGTTTTAATTATATACAGTATAAAACTAAGTGATGAACATTGAAAAAAAAGCAGGCAAAGAACTACAGTCATTGCAATACCTAAAACTACTTGCTAGTCAAATTATACAAGGAGATGTTATGTTGCTATAACATTTTGGCTAACTAAGCAAATTGCAGCTGAATTAAGTAAAACTTTTTGAAGCCAAGAGTGGTCTTTTGGAACATTCTCCCAAACACCATAAATCTCTGGTTTGAATGTACAAGGTAAACAAGTGATGGCATCTAAGAAATTACTGTGGAAAGTGGAAAGGGATTCAGCATTACTTTGTTTAACTATTTCTTAGCAAGATACAAGTGATGTGGTAAGGAAAAATCCTGTGAGAAAATGGGAAGTGGACAAGTCTGCTCAATAGAAGGAATAGCTGAATTGATATATTTGAGTCCACTGAAGGGTAACATCTCCAGGACTCAGCCTATGAGCATCTCCAACATTTATCTGATGGATACCCAGGAGCCTTCCTTTTATCTGCCTATTTGCTGTAGAGAGGGACAGTATGTCAGCCCTTCAAGGTAGTCCAGACAGGAAACCAAAACCATGAGTACTAATACTACCTTTGTTATTAAGTTACAATAAGATAATTTTGCAAGTCTGAAAGCACTTCCCCCCTCCCTTGCCTTTACTTTCCAGAGAATTAGGGAGGGTCCCTTCTGAGATGCTTTGTCCACCCCATCCCTCTTTTGGACTCAGATTTCTCTTATCAGACCATTGTCTAGGCTGTGGCTTTTCCCCCTGTCTCCCAAGGTTATTATCAGAGCCCATTACATAGTCATAGTATATTTTCTACTATTTTTCATCCATTCTACTGTCCCTGGAAGCATGTGTTCATAACAGACCAGACTTCCAGAAGAAATCAATAAATATGTATACATGTCTGCTCTTCGAGGTAGACCAGACTAGAAAATGAAAGTTATGAATGTTAATATTAATTACATTATAAGGTTACAGTAACAGTATCTTACAATCTCAATGTGCCATTCCCCCTCCTTCCTTTTATCTTCAAGAGAGCTAGGGAGGATCGAGTCTTTTCTCAAACTACATTTCTGTTTCGGACTGATATTTTTTTGTCTGACTGTTGCCTTGGTTGTGGCTCTTCCTCCTGTTCCTCAAGGTTATTCTTACTGCCTATTACAATATGTATATTGTTGGTACAGAAATTTAGGCAGTTGCTGTCTGTTTAAACATAAGGGAGATTTTGGCTGAATATAGCAGCTCCATTGCCAGAGCGGCAAGGGGTAAAGCACTGTTTAAGTGCTGAACATCCATATAATGTTTGGAACCAGCTTAGACAGACACCTCCCTAATTCATTGAACTATAAGAGGGAGGGAAGGTAAAACACAATCAGACTTGCAAGGTTCTGTTATTATAGCCAGTCTCAATAAAATTAGTTTTAGCCTTCCTGTGGAGCTAATTTCTTGGTCTGGTCTACCTAGTGGGGCTGACATCAGTCTTGCGAGTCTCATTGTGCTGTACCACCTCCTCCTCCTTAAAGTCTCCGTTAAAGTCATCTGTCTTATTCTCTATAAAAAGCCACAGAGGCACTTAATGTAACACATATCGTTCACTACATGCATTTTGTGAGACAACAGCTTGTTACAGAGTAGGACACTTGAAGACTGAACCAGGAAGAAGACCACTTTGTGTGCAGAATTTCTAATCTGTTTGAGGATTCTGCACAAATACCAGCTTTTAGCTTTGTTGTTGAGTTAACTTATATCATATGCAAATTGCTGATGACCTGCATCCAGTTGTTGCAATGTGTGATGACTTACTGAGTCAGTCTGTTTTCAATCCATCGATAACAAACTACCCAGAGTAGTTGAAAGTTGGGCACTATATTTCCGAGGGAGGTATGGCAAACTAAAGACAGTTCTGCAAAAGCAGAGCAAATGACTGCAGCAAAGACCAAGGAACTGGTAAGTAGACCAGTTCCTTGGAACCTCTCCAGATAAAGGAAGGATGGGAGATTGCCCACATGTGCTCTTCTCCTCATGAGGAGACCGCAGGACAGTGGTTTTCTGTGGGTTTGAGCAGGGGGAGACAACAAGAATGATCATCTTGCTTGCAGCCATGGTGGAGTAATTTAAAGGACATTAAGTTCACAAACCTCACTTTCAAAATTTCAGAAATTGCTCATTAACTACTTCTAAGCTATTAGAGACCTTTGGAACGACAAGTTTGAAAAGTCGTTATCGGGTGAGTTTATCTTCAACTCTGAACAAAGGAAAAATTAATTATAAACTTAAGAACTTAAAAAAATTGAAATTAACAGCAAAAGGCTGAATAAGATTTTGATCTAAGAAAGTTATAAATGGATTAAGGGTCCAGATAAATTAACATTTGGAATTAACTATAAAAAATAAGCAGCTTCTCGTGGGAAACAGAGTTATTTTGGCTGTCCTGGTTAATGCAAGTCATAACAAAAGATAAGTGACGATTTTAGAAACTGGACACTAGAGGGGACTAAAGATTTTAAGCAGAAGAAAAAAAATACAAGCCTCTTCTTGATGTCAGTTAATACTGGGACTAAAGGACACCAAACATTATAACATGTTTGTGAAACAGAGTGCCAGTCTGGTTCCCACCTGAGAGACAGTGACAGTGTTAGATCATGATGCATAGAGTGCTGGAGAAGAGTCACAGAGGTGTCTGTCAGCCTGTTTAGTACGGAAGAAACTTGGTGCCATGGCCTGAGTTATAGATCTTGCCTTTTGGGTGGCTTTAGTTTGGCAGTTGCCATTTTAGCAGCTTCCTTATCTGTCTTATGGAAGCCTCTGAGGAAGATATTGTGCAACTTGTAGGAGGTCTGGGTTGGTGGCTGCTAATATAGGGCTGGCTCGAAAACATGAGTTCTCCAGTCGAAATTTTCTGACAAAACTGCTTAGATTTGAGAGGAGCTAGACGTCAGCTGGATAGTGTCAGTGGAGGTGATTGGGGCCTCATCTTGTAAAATAATCTGGGATTATTTGAATCTGTGTCTCCTGAGGAAGTGAATAGGGCCTTCTGCAGTGTCAATTCTGCTACTTCTCAGTTGGATCCCTGATCTTCATGGCTGGTATAGGCCTCCTGTGAGGTGGCAGGAGGCTGGATTTGAGCAGTAATCAGTGAGCAGGGAGGTGTTTTGGTCACTTCTGAAGGAAGCAGTGGTATGCCCTCCGCTCAAAAAGATTTAGCTCAATCTGACTATTTTGGTCAACTTTAGAGTTGCCTCCAACTTTCATTTTTTAGGAAAGGTTGTGGAGAAAGTGGTGGTCCTGTAACTGTAAAGAGTCCTAGATGAAGTGCATTATTTTGACCCTTGGCAGTTAGGTTTCAGGCCAGGATACAGCATAGAAACTGCATTGGTCATGCTTGTGGGTGACATATATAGAGACCAGAACTGGGGGAGTGCAGCCCTCCAGGTCATCCTAAATCTTTCAGAATTTTTGGTATCATCTACTATAGTTTCCTTCTGGACTGGAGGGGGGGGGGCACTGTTTGCAGTGGTTCTCTTTCCTGAAGGGTTGGTTCCAGAATAGGGTTAGTGTGAGAGCTCTGTGGAGTTCTCTTCATAAAACCACTAGGTCATCCATCAGCACAGGGTTTGTATCACCAGTAAAAAAAATGTATCCTATAAGAAAATATTGGCCAGCTAGAGGTTAGAGTGCTATTTAACCAAATAGTCTGTGATACTTGGCTTCATTATTCTTAGCTCCCCAAATCATCAATGTTCTGTACTCCCTGAGCATTTCCAGTTCTTATCTCAGTGAGGTTATTGCAGATTTGGAAGAGGATTATTTTTCAAGATTTTGTATATTTTGTAAATTCTGGCTCCATCTATTGCTAGAGCTAGCTTGGTTCAAGCAAGATGTTGAAGCTGTTGAAATCACAACTTAAAATTGGCCAGGGATAGTATGCAAATCAAGCTTTTAGAACCTGCCACATGTTGCAAACTAAGTTACGATATCATGGGGAAAAAAATCTAATGAATTATGAAATTGGATGGGCTCATATAGGTCATCAAGTGCAATTCCATGCTTATTGCAGGAATACAGATTAAAGCATCCATGACAGATGGTTGTCTAATCTATCCTTGAACTGATTCACTGAACAGGAAGCTACCCACCTCTCTGGTAATTGGTTCTACTGTACTTTTGAACTCATGTTATTGTTAGGAAATTCTTATATAATCGTTCAACCAGAATCTGCCTTAACATTGTGTTTCTAATAATATTTTTACAGCACAAATGATGATGATGAGAGAGGGAGCGACTTCATTACTGTATCTAATGATAATTGTCATGCAGTGCTGCTAGTATTTTGAGCAATGAATTAAATTATTAGAGCATTTTCCATCCTTTAGAATAATGGTTTACTAAAGGTAACAAACCCTTATAGAATTCAGAAGAACAAGGCTGTTTGTTCCTTGGTCATGTC